CATGGAGGACCAGGAGAAAATAATGTGTTCTCTTCCTTCCCCACTGCCTCCCTGCCTTCGTCACCTGGCAAGCTTACCTTCTCAGACCCTCCTGGCTGACAGCTCCCCTGGAAGCCTGCCCAACCCCTCAGCCCCTGTTGGGGAGGCAGTCCCCTCTCCAGCCCACCCGATACACACAGGAGCAGCAGTCACACCAGGATGATTTCCCCACCACACTGGGTGTCCCTTGAAGGCCAGGACAACATCTCTTTCATCTCTGTCCCCAGGATATGACACAGTCAATGCTTGGTCTTAAATATTGGAGACTATGATTTGTCTATTGCTGTGTAACAAACTACCCCAAAACTTAGTGGCTTAAAGCAACACGCATGTGTGATCTCACAGATCCTGTGAGTCTGGGATCCAGGCATGGCTTAGCTGGGGCCTCTGATTCAGGGTTCCTTACAGGTTTTCAATCAGGAGGCTGTAGTCACCTCCAGGTTTGACTGAGGGTGGGTCTGCTTCCAAAATTATTGGCAGAACTTGGCTCCTTGCAGGCTGTTGCACTGAGGGCCTCAGTTTCTTGTAAATTGTTGGCTGTTCTCAAGGGATTATAACCTGGCAGCTGGCTTCAGTTGGAGCTGGCAAGTGAGAGGGCGAGAGATGGCAGGTGGGCAGAAGCCAGAGTCTTTGGGGAACTTAATCTCGGAAATGATCTCCTTTCACTTTTGCCATATTCTGTTCCTTCAAGGTGAGTCACCAGGTCCAGCTGGCACCCAAGGGAGGGGCTCCCACAAGGGCATGAACACCACGAGGCAGGATCATTGGAGGTCATGGAGGCTACTAACTCGTGAGACCTGGGTGCCAAGCCCATCGTGCTGCCTGAGTTGAAAGACTTGCACTTTCAGTGGTGGCTGATGCTTTGAGTGAGAAGCTTAACCTCATGTGCCAACAGTTAGCTATGAAATGGGGATGATAATTTATTTCATCAAGTCTAAGATGGCATTAATTGAAAGGTAGCATTATTTTATACACCACCCATTCATTGGAAGATGCAGCCCCATTTCAGAGGTTGAAATGGGAGGGCAGAAATGTGTGCCTTAAAATTAACGAAACACACAGACATACACAAATTAATGAAACACACAGTATTTATTTCTGAAAGTGGCCTGAGACTTAAACGGCTGTTCAAGGTTGTTGTGAGGCTTAGATGCATGGAAGGCTGCAACCTGGGTCAGCCTGCCCAGATGTTCCTTCTTATTAGTGAGCCAATGAAATTAATCCACATTTACATGCTGTGGGCAAGACCTTGTTCTGAGATGTCTAGGCTGGAAGTGAGGCCAAGGGGAGCAAGGTAGAATCTCTACCCTTAGAAAAGGAGGGATTCTCATGTACATAAAGAAAGGTGCCTTAAAACAGACACCAGGTGCTCAGGGTGCATGGAAGAGAATGGGAGACTACATCTGGCTTGGGAGTGGGGAGAATCCGGGCAGGCTCCCTGGAGGTGGTGGTGTTAGAACCTGGCCTCAGGGGCAGGGAGGACTGTTGCAGTAGAGATGGGGCTGGGATCATGGGTAACCGAAGCCTGGAAATGCAAAGGGTTACCCCTTGGGTGGGAGAAGAATTTGGAAAGGCAGACTGGAGCCCACTCTTCCTTGCCAGGAAGAGGAATGTAATTGATCTTGGGAGACAACAGGGTTGGAGTGTGCCCTCCACTCCAGGAGCCTTACCTCTGTGATTACATTTCACCCTCACACCTCTCTGGAGTTTAGCCCCATGTTTGAGATGAAATCACAGAAGCTCAGAGAGGTGAAGCAACTTGTCCAAGGACACACAGTCAGTAGTGGGCCTTGAATGCAGCCCCGCAGAGTCAGGCCAGTAAACAGAGTCCTCAGCAAATGTGTGTTCCACCTACCCTCGGGGGGGACTTGGGTCTTCATGCACCCCACAGGACAGTCAGACAGAACCCAGACAGCCTAACGTTTAATGCCATTGGAACTTTCCTTGAAAACATAATGCCCACCAGAAATGAGGAAGAGAATGTGAAGATACACATATTTGATTTTAAAATGTTTGTGTGTGTTTCAACTGATGATTTATTTCTTGGCCTGAGCAGCTCTTATAGTACTGTACATTTTAGGGGAGCTAGTTCTTTTACTTCAGAATAGTGATATCATTTATGTCCATTGTTTTGGTTTTCATTTCCCCACAGGAAGTTAGAATGACAGGCTGACAAGTTCAACATGAGATTTTGGTCATCTTATTACTTGGAGACATCAAACAAAGGGAACGATAAATAATAAGGATGCTGCTGGTTATAAAAGCTCTCACTTTCTCACGCAGTGCCAGG